AATCACAACTTTGATAATTACTCCAAAGTGGCAGATCTCCCTGATTCAAAGAGTCCACTTTTAAAATCTGTGGTGCAAGAGGGTTATGCGTCATCGCAAGCAGGATTGCAGATTGCCCTAGACGTGGCGGACACAATTGCGCAAACAACTGCAACGGCGGTCGCGATGAGAAGGTTGTCTTGGCTTGCTTCGGATGCGGTCCCTAAAGAGCTCCAGAACAGGGTGGAGGACCTCTCATTTGAAAAGTAAAAACTCTTTGCGGACAAAACTGATGAGGTCCTCCATTTGGGGAAAGATTCTCAGATGACACTCCATACCCTTGGCATGTACACGCCCTCCTTTAGGTGTAAGGGGTACTACCCATATCAAAGAAAGAATGATTACCCCTTTCAGAGACAACAACATCGAGTCTTGGATCAATTCCGTTCAAGGCGGCACCCACAACGCAGGTGCCCCCAGCCTCCCTGTACGACCAATATGGTGACCACAAAGTAGCAGGTTTGACTTCTCGGTCGAGGGAATGCTACCAGTCCTTCCTACATAGGCAAAACATCATGTCCCCTGCCTCTTCCACTACTGCCTACGACCGTTTCAGGCTTAATGGACAGCTATAACATCAGGCCAATGTGTGTTGCAGCTTTTGTCATCAGGGCTCACCATCCCATTTATGTCCATTCCGCCCACGACCCTGCCAACCCCGTCCCTCTTCAGGGACCCATCTCACGAGGACCTTTTGAAACAGGAGGTCCATTGTCTCCTGTTCATTGGTGCTACAGAGGTCATTCCAACACAATTCCGAAGAAGAGGGTTCAATTCTCATTATTTTCTCATGGAGAAGTCTAGAGGGTGGAGACCTATCCTCAACATCAGGAAATTGAATCAGCACATTTACGTTGCAAGGACATTATAATTTTCCCTTACCTTGGCGATTATCTCATAATGGGTCGATCACGAGAAGAGACATCCCATATGATCACACTAGCCAAGCAGACCCTCCAGTCCCTCGGCTTTATTATCAATGAGCAAAAATCCATGATAGAGCCCACTCAGATCATAAAATTTATAGGAGTGCGGCTAGATTCCATGATGGCTCGAGCGTACTTACTTCTGGAATGCTTCCAAGCAATTCAAGATCTAACCACCATCATTATGCATGCTCCTATTGTCAGTGTGCACTTGTTTACAACTTATAGGGCATATGGCCACCACCACTTTTGTGGTCCAGCATGCATGACTTCATTTGTGTTTTCTTCAACATTGCCTGGCGTCAGTATATATCCCCTCAGCGATGGGTCCCTGATTCCATGGTGGCTTCAGCAGTGATTTCAGTCTTTGATAAACCTTCACTCTGGCGCACATTCTGTGTACTGCTATGTAGTAACCTACAGTGGAGCATCCACAGGACCACTCGAAGAGGAAGAAGTTACTCACGTTCGTGTAGTAACGATGGTTTTTGGAGATGTGTCCCTGTAGGTGCTCCACATCCCACTCTCCTCCCCACTATGGAGCTTTTTTCTTCTTGCAGATACCTGAGCGGTTAGAGGAACAGGTGGGAGCCGGGTTCTGTGTGATGATCAAAGGGCACGAACGGCGTGAGACGCTAACCGCGCATGCGTGGCTCATCTGACTACAGCTATTGAAAGTCTCTGATCTGTGGCACAGAATGAGTCCGGCACCCACAGGGACACGTCTTGAAGAACCATTGTTATTGCACGAAAGTGAGTAACTTCTTCATCGCTAGTCATAAGCACACAACTATATGGATAAAGTGTTTATTGTTAATACAAAAAGGAGAATTTGTGGTACAGATGAAAAAGATTGCTTGGTTCATTTATAGTGACTTGTTGGTATTTGCTGAGCCTCACTACAAACTCATCCACTGTGTGGGATTTACTAGATGATTGAAATGTTTTGCTTGTTACTGATATTTGATTCTCTGAGAGATGTTTTGTTGAAGCACTGCTGCTATAAAAGTACCAGCAGATGACTGAAGTTGTTGCAGATAAAGTCAAAGTCTCTTTACGCTTAAATAGGATCTTGAAACAGCATTTAAAAAACTATTTTGAATAGTCACTCAGTTCTTCTTGCTCTATTTAATCATTTACAAGAGGCCCCTGCTTTGACGGCCCGATTTACAACTGTCCACCTTACAACCTTTTCCGTAAGTGCAGAAGGGGCCGAAATCCCCCGACTTATGTCCTTGCCCTCAGCATATGACGGCATATGACGTCTATCATAAACGCAGGCTCGAGTTGTGACAATCCCGACTTGTGACACTATCCCAGGAAGCAATCGTGTCGCAAGTTGCGGGCAGCCTGTACATTTTTTTTCCCCAGCAAGGACGCATATCCAAATCCAAATGACCAAAAAAGCTGAAGACTGACTGTGTCTAGAGTGCATAATTTTGGAGTGAGCCCCACTGAACTCACTGGCACTTCTGTTTTTGAAAAAACAAGTATAAGATGGGCTTCCCTTGGGAAAACTGTTATGTTGAAGTAAAACAGGGAATAGACTAACCGCATCACCTTTATGGTTTGTGTCCATGATGTTCCAAAATAAGGGGCATGCATTGTGTAATATAAAATGAGAAAATGACATCCAGGGGCAACTCTAGATGTTTCTGACTGTTGCTTTCTGTACTAAATACTTTGGTGATAACTAAGTGTAGAATTTAACTAATTAAACAAGCTGTAAGGATTAGCTAAGAGATGGGTCAGGAACCTTTCAGAAGTGGTATGCTGACATTTAACTTATTCACGTCTATTTACGGGTCAGCATGCTGGTGATACTTTTTAAAATCATTAATACTCCTATTTATAGCAGCTTCATTAATAAATAAATTAAGATGACAATCATACTGTTTAGTGTGATCCTTGGCTTTGCTTTGCCTTGCTGAGTTCTCCAATCTTGGGCTCGTAGTTTGATACTTTAAGCAGGACACAAGCCTCCAGTCAGGGTTCGGCAACCTACGGCACGCCAGAGCAGCAACCCAAGCAGTCACTCCCCAATGTGGCCACAAGCCTGTCCCTGTCTCCAATCAACTCGCCCACCCATAGTTTCAACCCCTTCCCCTCCCCCCCGCAGCAATCTGCCCAGCTGCAGCTTAAACATGCCGCAGCAGAAACATGCCCACCTGTCACATGTTCTAGACTTGAAATGCTGATGGCAGCCGCCCCACAATGCGGCCTCAGCCCCAGCGGCAGCTAACACCCAACATGGCCCTGGCCGCAAGAGCAGATGCCCCTCAACATGACCCTGGACTGTCGCCATCCCCGCCAGTGGGAATAGCCACGACACTCACCTTCCAGGGGCAGGAGGAAATGAGTGCTGCTACAGAGGTGGGTGGGCTTAGGTTAGAATTTTTTGTGCATCGCCTCGTAGGTGTGCACATTGAGGGAACACTGGCACAGGCTAGAGGAGGAGGAATAGGTCTGAGCTCCCACCTTGCATGCCAGTGAAAATTGGCTCACGTGCCACTTGTGGTGACACCCTTTGAATGACTATGGGTTCATACTTTTCCCCAATAACTGTGAGCTTGCATTTGTGCATACTTACTGCATTGCTACAACCAGGGATAGTTATCTTGTCCTTCAGCCCCTTTGGGTCAGAGGGTGACTCCTCTGCATCGGTAGCCACAGCTTTTTTTAGGCATAAAACACCGTAGAGAGCTGTTTCTTCAGCATTGTGTACCTGCTCAGCAGATGTCTTTTTTTCACTCTCAACTGACTGTACATATTAATCAATGTACTTAGCAGCAGCTTATGTTTCTGCTAGGGTTACTAACTATCATTCATTTGTGTAAATGTGTAAGTGCTGGAATTAATAGCAGGTACATGTTTACATGTGGGGTGGAGGGGAGGAGGGAGCGGGTGCTCCCTCTGTGGGAGGCAGCAAGGTGTAGGGGGCAGACAGCTCTATGGAAGTTGGCATGTGTGGGGAGCCAGCTTAAAACCCAGCTCACCATGGACACTGGCTTCCACCCCCACAGCAATGGGTGGGATAGCTCGTAGTTGATATGATTAACCAGAGCCCAAACTTATCAGTTAATCGTGTAGTTGACTACACACTAACATCCCAAGTATCTGAAGTTTTTTTCACTGCACACATGGTTAACTAATGCTATTTGTGTTCTTAAATTTCTGAAGTCATATTTTTCAAGTAGTCACACTCATGCTGCAGGCTAAATTCTTTGTGAAATATTTTTGTTTGTGCCATCACCACCTTGCCATAACTGTTAAAGCTTTCTTCCTGACACTGAAATCAGTGTATAAGTGCACTATCTCAATTGTTGCTTTTCCACCTTTTCAGTGTCTTACGAATACACCGTTTTTTTTTTACTTTGGATAAAAACTTAATACTGTATGCAGATCTGATCACCCCCCACCTGAAAAAGATATATTAGATTTAGAAAAGGTACTGAAAGGGCAACAGAAATGATTAGGGGTGAGGAACAGTTTCCATATGAGGAGAGATTAACAAGATTGGGGACTTTTCATCTTGGAAAAGAAATAACTAAAGCTGTGATGTCCAACATGCTAGCCACATGTGGCTGTTTGGCCTGTTGGCTTGAACAACGTGGCTGTTTGGCTGGTGTGGCTAGTTGGCTACAGTGGCTACTGCTTCAGAACTGATTGGATACCAAGGGACTAATGGGTGGGGAGATATAAAGATCCAGAGCATAGTGAATGGTGTGAATAAATAGAATAAGGAAATGTTCTTTATCCTTCACTAGCAACACAAGAAGCTGACCCAATGAAATGTATAGGCAGTAGATTTAAAACAAACAAAGGTTGTTTGTTCACAGTCAACCTGTGGACCTTTTTGCTAGGGGCTATAGATCCACGCTGTTCTGGAGAGTTTCTAAATAGAAAATCTCTTGCAAACCCAAGATATTAATTGACAGCCTTGGAGACTCATCTTGGGAGAATTCATCAGTGAACAGGTGGGCTGTTTTGGGGGAACTGTTGATAAATTTGGTAGGGGCAATAGCTGTGCTATTTTGCGGGTACTTAAATTCTGCTTTTGTGGTAACAGAATGCAGATGATGACCTTGGTTAACCTGTTTTTGCCCTCTAGTCATAAGAGAACAAATGACAGATTACAATGTAACTGGCACATTGTAGGTTTTCACACCTCTTTAGGTGCTTGTGCATGTCCTCTCCAATGTAGGGTGGTGTTGGGCACATAAACAGTTGCTAGAATTTTTTCCCAAGTGGAATCTGTTAGATTAGCACTAGCATTCTCTGATGCCACACTGTTATAGTGCTTGTGCAAAGGAACCTGCTGACACTACTCATTGATAAATTAATTATAAATGCCATTTGGCTTACTGTTTCAAAATAAAATTCAGATAATGGGAGGATTTTCTTTCTCTTAATGCTATATTAAATATATGAATTTCAGGCATTGGTCACAAGTGAAGTGAACCACCAAACTTCTGCAGTATAGTGTACAATATGGTGTATAATTCATAGTGTTGCATTAACTATTGATTTTTGTTAACCAACTTAAGTGACGTTTTATTTAAAGATATTTGGTGGCGCTTCTTATTACATTAAACGCAAAACAGAATTGTCCTTAAAATTAGTACTCAAGTATGCGGGTGCAGTTAATTTAAAATATTCAGAAATTAAAGGCTATGTTCAAGAAGATCCTCAAATAAATTAATATCTTTCTACTTTTAATTTTTGCCAGGTACTACAAGTGGTTGATGCTTAAGAATTGAAATATAAATTGGATTCACATTGCCTGTCACTAAATAGCACAGTTACTTCAAGTCAGGTAAGAGAGTAAAGATCAGTCTGTACAGTGCAACTGACCTATTACTAATATAATTGCTGCATGGTTAGTGTATTTTCGTGCTTTTGTTTTTGGCACTTTGAACTTGTTCATGATTTTACCAGTGCTCACAAATATTTTACTAAATTCTTAAGTCCTGCTTTTAGATGGCCTAGGCAGGTAGGCACCTAAATCACATGGATTTTTAATAAGGCTTTGGCCTGGTCTGCACTACAATTTTTTGCCTGTGTATATGGATAGGAAGGACGTGATTTGTGACAGACATAGTTGTGCCAGCAGAATCTCCTTGTGTGGATGCACTTATACCAACAAAACACATCTGTACCTATGCTTGGAGCATATTTGCAATATAGTTGTATCATCAGAGCATTCCAACTGTAGACCTAAGTTAGTCATTTAGGAACTTAAGTGACTTCTGAAAATGGGACTAGGTTTATGCGTCACTCGGGCAAAATTTTCAAAAGTGACCATGCTTCCCTTTTGGTCTATATTGACACTGACCTGCTAAAAAGAGGGACTTATTAGCATAAGTCATGATGTCATTAGCATATTTTCTGCCTTTTCTTTTTGCTCAAGGGGATTTTGCGCAAAAAGAAGCAGTGTAGATGGTTGTGCAAGATACTTATGCCTGTCCTGGAGAGACATTTGCAAACATTATGCAAATGAAACGCGGCAAAATGCTAATCTGCGCTTCATTTGCATAGGCTCTGCTGGCAAAGCCGGCAGTGTAGACAAAACCTAAATGTTTGTTTTTGTCACTAAAGTAAGATGCTTTGAACAAAGCAGGGATCAAATGTGAGAACTGGATCAGATGCAAACAATTTCCACAGTACAATGGCATATATAATAACTCTTGGATAGACTTAAGTCTTTTTATACTAGATATTAAATTATAAATTGGCAGTGATCAGTTTGTTTCTTCCAGCTGATCTTTTCTTATAAGTTCATTCCTTCCTCCGCAAAGGAGGAATTCCACTGTCTCAGGGTTGCACAAGTCCTGTTCAGGGTTGCACAAGTCCATGGATAACTGTTCAGCAGCTGTCCCTTTAAACCATGCATCCGCATGATTCAAAGGGGCAGCTGTGGGGAGCCCAGGGTCAGCTGGGGAGATCCCAGCTGATCCCGAGCTCCCCGCGGTTTTTCCCGGAAACCCGGGGTTAACTGGGGTCTTCCCAGCTGACCCCAGGGTTTTGGGGAAATGCCGCAGGATCCCGTGATCAGCTGGGGACTATTCAGCTGACCCCAGGCTTCTAGCAGCATGCAGTATAGCATGGAGCCCAGGGTCAGCGGGGGACTCTGAGTCCCCCACTGATCCTGGGCTCCATGGCTTTGAAATGAACAAGAGCCCGTGGTGGGTACTCTTCTGCATTTCAAAGAAGGCACCCGGGTGCAGCCCAGAGTTAGCGGGACTTCCCGCTGGCCCCAGGTTGTACACGGGTTTCTGCATTCCTCATTTGAAATGTACAAGAGCCCCAGCGGAGGCTCTTGTACATTTCAAAGGAGGAATGTGGAAGTGCCCATCAACTAGTTGATGGAAATTCCATCGACTAGTCAATTACGGTAACCGCATTTTAACATCCTTACTTCTGGCTATTCCAAGCTCACTGGCTTTCCCTTGGTCTTTATGGCTTTTATATAGCCAGCAAGTGATTTGCAGTAGCAGGTTTTGGTGGTGATGGATAGATGGAGTGGGTAGGAAGATCATGCAGCTATGGGAGGGAGTAGGGGAGAAAGAAGATCTGGGAATTATTTCCGTTCCGTTACTGATTATGAATGCATTTCAGGATATCTGTAAACACCCTCCCTGAAGTGGAGCCAGTCTCCCCCTTAAATTCAGGAGCATGGAGGAACTTTATGGGCTTGTGGGTTACAAACAACCTCAACATCTGAGGGTCACTTTAAGCTAAGACAGATCCTAAACTACCAAAAAGTCAGCAGTTCCACATAGGTTTGTGAATGATGGTCCTATTCCAGCCTAGAAAGGGAAATTCTTGGTTTTGCATGGAAGAGGAGGGCTTGATTGGCACCCTACACAAAATGGGATTGTTGACACTTCCCAGTGAGCTTTCTAAAGGCTTTTTAAGGATTGAGGGAAGAAGGAAACCATGAACTATGGAATGTTCCCCAGAGTTGATGCTCCCTGGGAAGAGCTCTTTTATTGAGTACAGGCAGTCCCCGGGTTACATGGATCCGACTTACATCGGATCCCTACTTACAAACGGGGTGAGGCAACCCCGCACTACCTGCTTCCCCCCAGCAGACCAGGGAGATGCGAAGCTAGGCCCCCTCCTTCCCCCCCCCAGCAGACCAGGGAGACGTGGAGCGGCTTTTCTCAGCAGACACCTCAGCTTGAGAATAAAGGACTGAGGGAAGTGAGGTGTGGGAGAATAAAACTGAACTCTGGAGAAATGTTTGGCTAGAGTTTCCCCTACAATATGTACCAGTTCCGACTTACATACAAATTCAACTTAAGAACAAACCTACAGTCCCTATCTTGTACGTAACCTGGGGACTGCCTGTACTTTCTATTGCCCATGTGAAATTGGCTCCTCTCCTTTAAATCTCCAAGTCACGTAAATAATGCTTTCTCCTAAATAAGAACATAAGAGCCCTTTTGTTTGAAAGCCAGTTAACCCATTATGAAGGGCGATGCTTATCCATTAACCTGTCACATCCCTTGTTGAGTATCAAATTAATGAAACAGTAATTTATAAAGTTGCATACAGCAATTAGTGATCAGTTAACTAACTGCCAAGAGAGGGAAAATAACATCTCAAATGGACCTGGAGAAAAATAGGAAGTACATATTTGAGTGAGAACTCTCTTAATCACAAATTATTTTCTTTTGCATTTTTTCATATTTGGGAGTATGCTTCTTTGTATATTAGAGACTTTTTATAGTGAAGCCTCTTTCTATAAAGTGCCTTATGCTTTTGGTGCTTGAGTTGATATTTGTAAATGTTTGAGTTCAACTGTTTGTGCTTGTTGCTTATTTCAGCCTATTATTATAGACTAGTCCTTGTTAAGCAAAAAGGAGTGAGAAGAAATTAAAAAACCCAAATTTCATATGCTGTGGCTTTGTTCTTTCATAACTTAATCATATTATGGGAAAGAACTTTAATATACTTTTTAGCATTTGGAATTTTTGATGTCAGTGTTATGGCTCATAAGTGAAGTTGCTTTATGGAGCAATTTCAAAAATCCACTAATTGTTTGAATAAAACCATTTATTAGTATAAATATAATTAATATCTTGACATCTTTTTAGAATTTGGAGTTTAAACTCGACGGAACAAAAAGCAACATCAAGACAGGATGGACTGGAATGCAAGACCACCCCAAAACGCTGATAATCAGAATAACTTGCAGTGTCAAAATAGTTTGGGAAATCATGGAATTCATTTTTCTCAGACTTATTCTAATCCATGTGCTTTCCCTCAGACAAGCACATACTCTGCTCAGAATTCTTGTACTTACCCTGTAAGTAACCAGACGGTATTTCTGCAGTCTAACAACATGAACATGGTTACAAATCGATCGCCTTTTCAGAATACTGAAGGATACAAAACATTGCAGCAAGCATTTCCAAAAGAATCTGTACCCACTAGAGTTTTTGCTACCTCGCAACGTTCATTTGAGAGGCATCCACCTTCACGTGCACAAATGAGAAGGACTGCTCCTAAACAGGCTACACGTGTGCCCATAGAGACTACTTTGAATCTTTGGCCAAACTCTGTCTCCAACATGCAAGTTTATTCCCAATCAAGACTAGCTAGTGTATCATCACAAGCAAGCCCTGGAAACAATGTACAGGGTATACCTCAGAAGCCACAGAATCAGTATGTGACCATAAATGCTTATCCTATGCAACCTCAAATAGCACAACCTAATTTTACAAGAACAGTGATGTTTTATCAGGGTAACCAAGCATGCAATTCATCTTCAAAGGAGCTGCCAGTAGGATGGGTACCCCAGTATAACTTGAACGGGCCTGCCTCTTCTCAGCAGTGTGCCAGTGTACCTGTTAATCAGTCATCGAATGAGTGTGTAAATTCTCAACAAAACTCTTTGACTTTTGCTTTGCCTACGCAACATCTCCAGCAGCAAGTACACTGTCCAAGCACTCAACTTCAGGGTACACATTCATCAAGTACAAACACTGCAATGGCCGTACAATCACAGCAATATGCATCTGCCCAAATTGGCTCTGAAGATCATAATGGAAATCCTCCACCCTATATGATGCCTGCTAGTTATGATCCTAGAGCTACGGCACAATCTTTGACAGGACTTCAACAGGTAGTCCAAAATATATCTAATGAACATATACAAAACCAGCAGAAACATGCATCGGATCAGAGTAATGCTACTTACATAAAGGATGTACAGCAGCATTGGCAGACACTAGAATCTGGAGAAACTAGTCAGGCAACTGGAAATATATATAATTCACATGGAAATGTGACAGCAAAGCAATCTTTCAGTGAAACAGCTAAACCTTCAACATATGATTTAGAAAGACATTTTAACGGCATGCAAGAAGTTGTGACCGTTCCTTCTCAGCCACAGAATAAAATAGCATCAGTACAAGAGAGCCCAATTAGTGGTTCAACAGATTTGCCTGATAATTCTAAAACTATTTCATCAACAGATAGTAGATTGAAAGTAACAAAAGAGAGTCTGGCTATGGAAGCTCAAAAACTTCTGGAAATTAAAAAAAAATATGCAATACTTGAAAGGGTTTTTTTAATAAAACAAAAACTCTTGGCATCTTCAGAACATAATAAAATGACCTCTGATCTTCCTCCACGTAATCAAAAAGCTAACGTTAAACTTTTTCCACATGTGGCCAATCAGACTGGGTACAGCAGAAATGAAGAGTCAGCAACTGCCACTTCTTCAATCTTCACTTGAAGAAAGAAACGACAAAAACATTACCAACACAGGCAGTGAAGTATTAGATAAGACATGGAACAGTTGTAGGATTAATCAAGGACATTCTGCTTCAAGATCTGTTTTGATTTCCTATCAGGATAAATTCCCAGTTCACTCAAATAATCTTGAGAGAACTTCAGTATTAGGTCCAAAGAATGCACCAGCTGCTGACCCTGTGCAAGAGACCATGAAATGCACTGAAAACACTTCGGATTTTAGCAACTGTAGGAGCTCTGATAGGGTTTCACCAAAAAATATATCAGTTAGCACGGGGGAAGCCTCACTTCTCCAATCTGTTTTAAGTAGCATGAGTATTTTGCAAGAAAAAAAGTCTGGTAATCTTGCTAATGAAGTGCCTACCCTATTTCAGAATGAAAAAGTGACTTCAAATTTAATACTGTTAGGTGGAAGTTCATTGCCCAACAACAGTGAAGCAAAAGGTTCTATTGAGGCAGTCCAGTGTTCAATATCAACATGTCCTGAATTGGATCAGCGCAGTAAAGGCATTTGTTCTCAGCCAACTGAGAACAGCAAAACTCTGAATAATAAGATAGTCAGTACTACTTACATAAGTTCTCTTGCTTCAGAAACAACTGAACTGAATGTAACAAATGGTGTAGCTGAGAAAACACCACCAGCAGTTGTTATTGGAAACTCATTTTCAAAAATGAACTGTAATACTTCTATGGAAGAGCTAGCAGCATGTCTGGCTTTGTGGAAAAAGTGTCCTTCAGACTCTGTGGACATTCAATACAATCAGTCATACAAAAAAATAGACTCAAATATGATTTCATCATCTTCCGAAGGATTTCATGATCGGAGCACATGTCATATCTTGGAAAACATACAAAATGCAATGGCTACAGATGATGAAAATAAAGTTACAATAAGCACAAATGAAACAACTCTGTCTTCTACTACCCCTGTTGGGCAAAAACCTGATACGTTGGGTTCCAACTTGGTAAAGGGTTTTGAACCCCAAGTTGCTGTAGTTTCTCCTTTAATACTTTCCAAGGAGAGAACTCCAAGCGAACATCAAGAAAAAAATCCAAAACTTTCTGCTGAAATAATTTACCCAGTGGTTGAAGGAGATAAACAAAAAGGAGTTCCATTAATTGGAAATACCAACAAAGGGATAATGGAAGCTACTTACTTAGTATCAGATAAATGTATTCCAATACAGAAAGTGGACTCAGATAAGCTGTACACCAAATCAGCTGATGGAAACAAAATAGTAAAAGATGCTGTGTATTCAAACTGCTCATATGATGGAAACAAAAGGAATGATGATCATTTTGCACAAGAAATGAGAGAAACTAATATGCAGATGAGTTTACAAAACAAAACTTCTTTGTCCCAAACAAGCACAGATGGTTCAAGTCCAGTGTCTCAAGAATATCAGACAAAGAATAAAGTTTATGAGGACTTAAGAGAACCTAGGGCCATTACCACAATTGTATCAGAGGACGATATGTTACAGATTTCCAGTGTATGTTCACTTGTTGAAGGTGATGCATCTTATGATTCACAAATAGCCAATATGTTCTGTTCTGTGCCTTCCAAGCATTTAGAGAAAAATGCCTTGTCAGAAGAAAATATCTCTAATATAAAGCCTAAGGAACAACAATTGGATGCTTGTAAAGGAGACTCTATAATGAAAGCCAGTGTGTTTGAGGGGGAGAGGAGTTTCCCATTACAAAATACTCCATCTAAAGCAGTATCTGCAACAAAATCATTAGATGCACCAGGTTTAGAGACGTACTTGTGTGATATTAGTCAGTGCATTGAAAAGATTTTTGAAGTGGAAAAAAATAAAGGGACTTCTAAAATTATTAGTAGCTCAGGACAAAAAATGACGCAAAATACAGTTTCCAAGAACGGAGAAAATATTGTTGATGTTAGCCAGAACTTGATCAGAAACAAAGAAGACCTGTCAGTTAACATATTTGGTGAAATAGATTCCTGTTCTACTGCAAAAGAAGAAAATACACAAGAACATATACTCAGTGAAGGTGAAAATACAGTGGCAAATGGGATTAGTGATGATAGTGTAGTACCTGTAACCTCTCTAAATGATCAGCTGACAGAACTTTTAAAAGAGTTTCCTTATGGGATTGAGGGTGCAGATGTACTGATGAAAGAGCTCACTAAAAATGAAGATCTTGTGAGAGAGCCATCAAAGAAACAAGTTGAAAAAGGAACTCATGCTGATAGCAAAAGCTGTGATTCTAAGGACCCAATAAGCCAAATAAAAATCACAATATTAAATTCAGAACAAATGAAAGAACTGTTCCCAGAACAGAGTCACCAGTCGTCTAACAAAGTTATGGTGGAAAACATTGAAAATCAAGAGATGAAAATTAGTTCATCAAAGGGGGAGACTTTAGAAAGCCATATCCAGCCAGATCAGAATCTAGACATGGAGAGGGAAAAGAACACACAGGAAACATCAGCCTCAAAGCAAGAGAAAAAATTTACATATTGTTGTTTAATGGGTTGGTTAGCTTCAGTTTATGCAGTGCCAGGGTGCTCATGCAAATCTAGAGAGGATATTACTTCAGAAAAACAAAATGGTGGCAATCAGTCTCCAGAATCTGAAAACACTGGCTTAAAAGGGAGACAGGAAACAAGTAGTAGAACTGGTCCCATAACAAAAAAAACCTGTGCAGTAGAAAATAATCTGCAGCTTCCTGTCAAATTACATGATACAAGCAAAAATCTTGCCATAGTAGACAAAGATAGAAAACGTGCACCAAACTCCACAATAAACAAAGATGTTAAGAAATCAGTAAAAACACATGTAGACGTAATTAGACCTTTTCATCCTTCAGAGAAAAGAGAACCTGATAAATTTAAAAGAATGAATGGCCAGCAGAAGGGAGACATGCACCTGCATGTATTGACTCCTTCAGGAAAGGAAGTTGAGACCAACGAAACAGATCCTCAGAAATGCACAAGGGAGCAATTTGCTGCAGGAAAGGTCCATCGTACAAACAGAGGACATTTGATAATATCAACTGAAAAAAAGGAAAAATTCTGTAAAATGTATTCTTTTGAAAAAGATCAAATAGAAGGCTTAGTCATTAAATCTGAGAGACGCGTCCACAATTCAAAAATTTCTGAAACTGTTGAGGTCAAAAAAAGTAACGTACATGAGGAACATAATCATAAAAAACTTTGTGAACAGAGTGCAGATGAAACTCACAGAGTTAAGAGACTTAATTACACATTTAACAAAAATGTACAAATTAAAGAGAAGACAAAACTGTCAGCGGAAATAAAATATAAATCGGATAATCATCATGGAACTACAAGAAAATCCCCAAATGCAAGCACAAAAAAATATGAACATTCTCAGCATAAATCTGTAAAAGTCTTACCTTTACAGGAACGTTTATATAGACGAAAACGGAAAGAAAATATGATTGGAAAGAGAGACTCAAAAAAACCAAAATTGGAAAGTGAAAGAATCAAATATGAAACACAGACTTTTGAACATTCAGGGTATAATAAAGAAAGCACTAATTTGGCAAATTCTGAGAAATTTGCAACATCAAAACAAGAAAATGTCTGGAAATATAAAAACTTCTTAGCAAATCATAATCATATTTCCAAACCACAGAAAAAAAAAGGGCGCCCTTCTAAAAAGTCTAAAACCTACTTTTCTGGCAGAGAGAAAGACTTGGATGTTACAAACAGAGAGAAACCATCTGAAAAAAATCCACAGTTGAGTAGAAAAACTAATAGATTGAAAATTTCTCTCCAAAGGGAACAACAAAAAAACTATCTGAATAGAGTTGCATTTAGACGTACTGCCCAAGAAAGCATTTGTCTGACAAAACTAGACACATCATCTGTCAAACCTGTATGGCATATTAAATCTAATAACGTTCCAGAGCTCAGCCAGGACTTGAAAACTAATAGCTCAACATCAGAAGAGGATAAACTACACAAACCACACATGCTCGAATTTAAATTGTGTCCAGAGATATTGTTCAGAAATACAGCCACTGATGGGGAGAGTTTGGATATCTCACTCTCATCTGAAAAAGACAAAACCCTTGTGGCAGGTACAGTTTAAATTACACTTTTCTTCTTGTCTGTGAAACTATGTAAACAATAACAAGGGGTCTTGCAGATGAAAGGAGGCAACAGGTTCGATGCTGAGATGCAAAGTCAAAAGTGGTTTATTGCTGGTATTGAGCTTAAAACCACACACCCTTGATACCTTTTGTGGGGCGGGGATGGGGAAGAATTGATATTGTTGAACAATAATGATGTATTGTTCTTCTGTGAAATTAATACATAGTAATTCCAGTCTCTTAGATTCCATGTTTATACTAAAACTGTAAATGAGGGGTGGCTCAACTTCTTGACACTCTGAGCTACACATGATAATCTTAAAAAGTACATGAACTAGGTGTGCCAGATGAGTCTTGGGGCTTTCAGCCCTGCTCATTCTGAAGCTCCAGCAGGTCCCTCCCACAGGGCTGGAGACCCAACACCCCCATCCCTGTAGAACAGAAGCCCTGAGCTCCCCCAACCCAGTTTGGTGGGTGGGGGGAGGGATCTGTAAGATAACTGTAAAAGAGCTACATGCATTTGGCCACTACAAGAACAATTTAAGACTGAACACTTGCTTGCTTTCCTATTATACGTGGCTTGGGTGCTTATAGGTGGTAATGATGAGTGGTAATTGTAAGATTTATTTTTCACTTCAATTTTTAATTTTTTTTATTTTTAGGAGTCAAAAGTAAAAAGGAAGATTGGTTAAATTATATCCCAATGAAGCAAAGAAAAACTGAAGAAACAGCTCAAGGTGAAATGACTTGATTTTTTTTTTTTTACCTTGGAATAAAATATAAAGTACATTTTGCTTGGCTTTGAAAATGGTTAATATACAGTACAAGATTTTAGCAAAATATTATCTCTAGCACTGGCACTTGCTCAGCTGCACTAGTGGGAGCTGAATGCAGATGTGACTGGTGTTTTCTGGAAATTTTTATTGCCCTAATGCTCCATTTGGGTTCAGCTGAACCAGCGGTAGCATCAGTGGGAATATTTTGCTATAATTCCATAGTGTACACAAACCTAAACTGTATAGACTACATATGACTGTGGGGTAGGGACTTAAATGCTAGATTGTTTAGTAAATCAGGTTATGTAGTAATTGTTTACACAGTGGGTTGTCTTAAACACTTCACATGTAAACACTGATTCTGGACTCAAATACTTGCATTTGTATTTCACGTTATTTTAAAAGGTACAACATAGCTCAGTTTATAAGTAAATGATAAATGTTTCATGTTTGTCTTTCAGTTGATGACAATATTCCACTTGATGCAGCAATACAGATCCTTGAGGGAAATGAGGCTCTTCATGTTCCAGACAAAGACTCAATGTTTCAGACCTACAGGAAAATGTATCTGGCAAAAAGAAGCAAAAGCCTAGATAGTAGCTGTTCAAAATAGGACTACTTTAATCATAAAACAACTAAATGCATTTGTGTAAACCAAATGTGTGTTGCTGATCTTCACTATGCATTCATTTTTTGTTACATAAGCAAGATCTTATTTATGAAAATGTCAGTGTTAAACATGTTATCTGTTATCAAATGTATTTTTTTTTCTTTTTCAAACTACAGGCCTTAATTGAAGCTTGCAACATCTCATGAGCATTTAAGCCATCCAGACTGTTTTATGAATAGATCAATTTTACTTTCTGGTTCTGGAAAATCTCCTTTCAGAGACTTTCCATTGCTGGCAATGGAAATAATATGGCCAGTGCAATGGGACCAATGGTAGATTCCTAAGCATAATATTTTCTATTTATGCTGTTGTAATTAGTTCTGTTTTTAACAATGTTTTCTTATTTTGGGGGAAAGGAGCAGTAAGATGTTACTATTTTTGTTTTTACTTTGCATACAGAACTATGCAACAAAGCAACTGAACTTGAGCATACTGATCAAACATTCCATGAAGTATTTATGCTGCTACTCAGTTTTACTAAACTGAGCTTTATAATACTCATTAGAAAATAAGAGCTGGTCTACACTACAGCTTAAGTCATTGTAATTTATGTTGCCCTGGGTTGTGCAAAAGTCATCTTCTGAGTGACTCAAGTTACATCCACCTAAGCGCTCTCCATGCTAGTGCTTGTTGTCAGGAGATGCTCTTCTGGCAACATAGCTTCCACCTCTTGCTGAGAGGGAGTAAGTATGCTGAATGGGGAGAGCACTCTCCTGTCACTATTTTGTATCTTCACCAGACATGCTACAGCAGGACAGCTGCTGTAGCATCATGTTCGTGTAGATTAGCCCATCATCAATAATTCTTTATCTTAACATTTGTACTGCAAATTGATGACCAGCTGATGCTTTTCACCCCCTTATAGGGTAACTCTCTCCTGCTTTCCTTATACTTGAAAGAAAAGGGCAGTAGTTGAATTCTAGGAAGTTTGAATTCATGTTGTCTAAGCTACAGTCACTGGTTAAAGTGAATAAAGTGGATTTCTATGTTTCTAAGCTACATTAGCTAATGTTTAAACTTACACAGACACTGTGACTTGTATTATATTCACTAATTGTTGGTGGTTTTGTTCCTTTTGCTCGCAGTGTTCAGAATTTTGAATTTAATCGTATTTTTTCAGAAATTTTGGCATTTGATTTTTTTTACATGTTTAAACCTTTATAATGAAAATATAGTGAGTGTAGAGAATTAACTTGAACCATTTTCATATGCTAAATAAAACTTTTATTTTGAGCATTACATTTTGGTATTATGTGCCAGGTTATTTTTCTGTTTTACTAATTGCAGTTAATTGTAGCTGGTTGAATTTTTATGATCTAAATGGATATTGAAAGGAAAAAAAACTGCATGAAAATTTTTTAATAAAATTTCTCAAGACTATTTCAAGGCAATGCAAAATTAAGTACTAGACAATGCCCTTAGTGTGAAACTCCTGACTTCATTAAGAGTGTAGAGATATAACTGAGGGTAGAATTTTGGCCTGAGCTGCTGCATCTGAACATGAGATTGGTGTGCATAGATACTTAAGATCACCTTGCTTGTTTGGCATTTCCCCAACCCATACATGAGTTTGCGAAGAGTTGACACGAATACTCAGAAGACCCGCTCATGCTTCTTTTGGACCTGGATGTGGACAACTCAAGAGCTATTCAATGGATCAGTCCCACTACCATTTCCACATGACTGTATAATAAAGATATGTATCTTAACAATGTATTTTAAAGTAGGACTGTCAAGTGATTTTAAAAAATGAATCACACTGTTAATAAAATACCATTTAAATATTTTTTGATGTTTTCTGCATTTTCAAATATTGATTTAAATTAAAACGCAGAATACAAAGTACACAGTTCTCATTTTATTTTTATTATAAATACTTGCACAGTAAAAAGAGAAAAAGAAACAGTATTTTTCAGTTCACCTAATACAAGTACTACAGTGCAATGTCTTTTATCACGAACGCTGAACTTGTAGAATTATGTAAAATAATTGTATTAAACAAGTAAAACAATATCAAGTGTTAGCGCCTAAAAGTCCACTCAGGCCTAGCTCTTATTCAGCCAATCACTTAGACAAATAAGCTTAGTTAAAATGTATCTGCTGTCTGCTGCTTTTTTAGTGTCACCCGAAAGTGAGAACAGACATTCACATGGCACCATTGTAGCCACTGTCATAAGATATTTGTGCTAGATGGGATAAAGATTCACATGGCTTTGTGCTTCAACCACCATTTCAGGGGACATATGTCCATGCCGATGATTGCTCAATAATGATCCAAAGCATTGCAGACCAATGCATGTTCATTTTATTATCTAAGTCAGATGCCACCAGAAAGTTTTCTTTTTTGGTGGTTCAGTTTCTATAGTTTCTGCATCAGTGTTGCTCTTGAAGGCTTCTGAAAGCATGCTTCATACCTTGTCCCTCACATTTGAGACAGCACTTCAGAATCCTAAATTGTGGGCTGTTGTGCTGTAGTTATTTAGATATCTCACACTTTTGCTTTGTGATCGGCTGACCAAAAAGTAGGACTGCCCTAAAGTTTTATATTGTTTTTTGAATGCAGTTATGTAACAAATTCTACATTTGTAAGTTGCAGTTATCATGATAATTTTCAGTGTAGTACTTTTTTGTGGGGGTGAAATGAAAGACACTATTATGTAAATATTGGTAATAGTGCAGTGTACACTTCGTATTCTGTGTTGTAATAAAAATTAATATATTTGAAAATATAATCATTTAAAATATTTAATACATTTTGTATTCTATGGTTTAACATGATTTTTACAATGTTTGTAATACGTGAGTTAAGTGCAATTAATCAACAGCCTTATTTTAAATTCATGGTTCCCTTCTTTCAAAAAATAGAAAGGGGGCTTTGCGAGTGATTGAGTATGAGTGATAGACTGGATGAGAGCATGTAGTAACCTAATAACAATTAAGTTCCCCATATTAGGAGGGGCACACTGGTGATTATGGACAATATTGTCCCTGGCCAGTTTTTAATATTATTTGGGATAATTGACGTGTTCTTTCTTTTCACCTCCATAACTCCTTTCTGACCCCCACCAATACATTTTTACTGTCCAGAACTTCATTGTGCTCATTTGTGCTACTTCAGAAAAATCTGAAGGTGTTCACCTGATTTTTATCAATAAAATGAATGAATGATATTTTTGTTTTAGTTTGACGAGCCCTGCAATGAGAGACCTTCTTTTTCAAGCGACATCCCTATGGGTCTTCCTGAGCAGGCATCTGTGTGTTCCACTGCCATCGACCAGATTATTTACAGCAGTACTTGGAGAGTGGGGTGGGGAGAGTCGCAAGCAGGGTGGGTGGCATTGTGCTGTGCAGCTGCGTATGCTCAATCCCCCTCCCGTCAGTTTCTTCTTGCCATCCCTATTTTAAGATGGAGCTCTGTAGTGCTCTTCACTTAGCATTATATGTCATAGCTCAAAGTAGTTCATTTTCAGTTTTCTTTTTCTGTTGCCCTCCGTTCTCATCCAAGTTAGTCTTCCTAAAAAAAATCACAAAACAAACTTTTCTCCAATAGTTTCCCCCTTGTTGTTCCTGTTAGCCTTTTCTGCAATGATGCCTGTGTTTAAACGTTCTCCTGCCTGTAATGACTCTGCCTGTATCAGATGGACATTCCAAGTGCTTCAGATGTTTAGTCAAAAACCATGTCTAGCAGTCACAGCCGTCATCATTGCACCAAGCTCCATGTGTGTATTCCTATGGATAGATACCGCCACCCTAAAATGCTCAAGCTTGAAAAAGCACAACATCCATTCTCCGATCTGGGCAGTGAATGGTCCAGTAAGCCCAAATCTGACACAGGGAAAAAAATCCGCTTTTCCTCACAAGTCTCAGTTGGCCACGTAGTGTGCAAGCAAGAAATTGGCAGCAAGAGTGAAGACTACAACTCACCTTGGTACATATGACACACCAGGCATCTCAGGCACCCATCACGGTACTTTTAAACAATGTGCACAGAGTTCGCATTGAGACTATATGCCTGACTCTGCCTGCTTCAGAAAAACTCGGGCCCACTGCAGCACTGAGCAACCATGGTGGAAACATTGGTGCAAAGAACAGCTGAAGCAGCACCGCAGAAAGCAACCACAGGCCGCAGCATGGACATAACCAAATCAACAGTAGAAACCAGCCATCTCAGCAGAATAAGCACATTTGAGGCCTCCATTGAGGGACCAAAAACATCTTTACACGTTCCAGAGGTGCCAACAAGTGATAACATATTCAGTCATCATCTTCTGACCTTTGGCGTTAAATGGCAGAGAATAACATCTGACAGATGTGTGCTACAATTAATCCTTATGGGATATACCATTCCCTTTATATCTATAACTCCCTCACACCCACTTATGCCATCCCTCTTCAGGGACACTTTCTCAATGGGATTTTACGACAGGAGGTTTCCCTTCTCCGCTTGGGCACTATAGAAGTTGTCGCACATGGGTATGGAGGGAGTTTCTACTTACTCTTTTTCCTTACCCAGAAGAAGAATAGAGGATGGTGCCCCATTTTAGATGATAAGGCTCTCAACAAATACGTAAAAAAGTGAAAGCTTAAAAAGGTAACACTGGCCCTGTTTACTAGTTTTTGTGTCTCAACTTACTGGATGCCTATTCTCGTGCTCCTATTCATCCTGCTCACAAGTACTTTCTCCTCTTTGTCCTAGCTATGCACTACTACCAGTATGCAGTTACACTATTTGGACTCTACATAGCAACAAGGATTTTCTCCAAATGCTCATGGTAGTCACCACCTACCTAAGGAAACAAAATCTTGTCATTTTCCCCTATCTTGATGACTGCCTGATCAAGTCAAAATCAGAAGCAGAATCCTGTTGCAATACCCACCTGGTTATGATATACACACTTTAGGTCTGCTAATAAAACAAAGTCTGTGCTACACCGGTCCAATCCATACAGTGTATAGGCACACAACTCAACTCAAGGACAGACATAGCCTCCTTGTCTCGACAGATTTGTAAAAATCAGGGACCTGGGCCACAAGTTATGTCACAAGATTGCCTTCAATTGCTCGGCCACATGATGTGATGTGGTTCTGAATACACATTTGTTCATGTGATGCCTAGAGAGCTGGCTCAACACAACCTAAAACCTAAACTGCTGCCCCCTGACCAGGACTCTTCTAACAGTAAAGACTGCACTACTTTGAACAAAACAGAGAACCTGTGCACAGGAATTCCATTCCAAGAACTGGAACCTTCAGTGGTCATAACAAACTTCTCCCTCGTGGGTTGGGGTGCACACATGGAAAAGTCAATGATGCAGGGTCTTTGGACATCAAAAGAAAGGGCTCTCCACAAAACATTCTGGAGCCCAGAACTTTGAAACTAGTTTAGTATCATTTCCTTGTGGAAATAGCTGGCAGAGATGCCAAAATATATACCAATAACGGTGCCTGTATGTTACATAAACGGGCAGTGTGGTGCCCATTCCCATGCCCTCGGTACGGAGACTATTGCTCTGTGAAATTGGTGCCTCATCCAATTCAGTCAATGGGACATCCTCTGATGATTTTTTTTTTTGCCACAAACACAAAACAAAAAGTGTCCTATACTGCCAGAGCTGGCCTAGTTAAGGGCTCCCTTGGAGATGTTCTCACCATCAAATGGAGTCACCACCTCCTATACACCTTTCCTCTGATCTCTTCTCAACCAGATGATACTCAAGATAAGGAGGGATACAGTGAGACACATTCTCATAGTCCATGCTGGCCCAGCCAGCCGTGGTTCCCCTTTCTCAAGACAGTGGCTTTATCTGCCCCCCCCCCCTCAATCTCCCTGCCATGCAACCCCAGGCTTTTTTACCAATATGGAAGACAGATCCAACACCCATGGAGTAGTGTCCCTGTGGGTGATTGACTGTTGGTGTAGTGTTGGCCTGGTGCCGCAGATCGGAGATTTGTTAGCAGTAGTCTGCCGGACTGCACATGTGCATTATGTGCCTCATGCCCTTCGTACTGTTTCTTCAAGCGTGCGAGCTGTCTCCCACCAGTTTCTCCTAACCGCTCTCGGTTGCAGATGGAGTGAGCTACCTCTCCCTCTATCCTCTCAGAATGAAATAAATTCAAGTTAGTTGGTTTTTAGCTTAGTTATCCTAGTAATAGTAATCTCGTTACATTAGGGGGAAAAAACCATTCGGAGGCCTCCATGGTTTGCGGTCTTTATTTAAAAAAAAATAAATAAATTACAG